CCCTAATGCGGACCAGATGGTAGGCGTTCCGCAGGTCCAATTTGGTGAAGATCTTGGCCCTCTGGATCTGGTCGAAGGCCGAGTTCATAAGGGGAAGTGGATAACGGTTCTTAACAGACACCTCGTTGAGCCCCCTATAGTCAATGCAAGGTCTGAGGGACCCATCCTTCTTACCCACAAAAAAAACCCTGCACCAGCAGGGGACGGAGAAGGACGAATTATTCCTGCCCTGAGTGACTCATTTATGTATTTCTGCATTGCCTGGGACTCTGGTATGGACAGAGAGTAAAGTCGACCTCTAGGGGGGGGTTGTTCCCGGTAGTAGTTCGATGCTGCAGTCAAATGGACGGTGAGGCGTTAGGGCCGTGGCTCTGGACTAAAAACCTCTTTAAGATTATGGTAGTCTGCGGGAACCTTAGAAAGGTCAGGGTAAACCTCCTCCACCTCATTCTCTGCAGTTAAGAGGTTGGGCTGACAACAAACAGAACTGAGAACAGGAGGGAGCCCAACCCATGACCTCCACTCTTCTCCAGTCAATCAGGGGATTGTGTCTCCGGAGCCAGGTGACACCCACGACAACAGGAACCTGTGGGGAGTCAATGATTATGAAGGTCAAAGTCTCTCTATGGTTACCTCCGACTAGCAGTTCCACCGGCTCCGTGACGAGGTGGGAGTGGTTCAACCGGTGGCCATCCAGGGCGAGAACACTGTGAGGTGACGAGCCCGGGAGGAGTCCAATGTTCAGTCCTCTGGCGAATCCCTCGTCCATGAATTCAGTGTCTGCCCCAGAATCAATAAGGACAGACAGGTTATGGGCTATGGCTGAAACAGTGAAGGTAGCAGGTAGCAAGAGGTCTGGGGAGACAGAGAGTGTAGTGCGGCTCAGGAGGGATCTCCCCCCTTACTGAGCCTTGGCTTTTACTGGGCAGGTGCCAATGTAGTGACCCACTGCTCCACAGTAGAGGCAGAGGTTTAATTGACGCCTGCGATGGCGCTCCTCACTAGACAGCTTGCTCCTCCCCAATTGCATGGGTTCAGGATCAGCTGCGCTTGGGAGGGGTGAAGCCTCTGCTGGTGCAGAGGAGAACGACCTGGGGTGAAACTGGTTAGCTGCCCGGCGCTCCCTTCGACGTTCCATAAGTCGAAGGTCAATCCGGGTTGCCAGATCCTCCAAATCCTTTAGTGTCCGTGGGAAATCCCGGGTGGCGAGTTCATCCTTTATTTTTTCATTTAGACCAGTAATAAAAACATCCATCAGGGCGTGCTCATTCCAGCGGCTCTCAGCTGCTAAGAGATTAAAGTCAATTATATATTCAGAAACAGACTTATCACCCTGCCTGAGGGTTAGGAGCCCCCTGGTGGATTCACGGCATGGTAGCACAGGGCTGAAAACTCTGATAATCTCCTGGGAGAAATCGTCATATGAGTGGCAGATGTCAGAGTCATTTTGCCATTCAGAAGTTCCCCACAATCTTGCCTTACAGGTCAGCAGGGAAATTACATATGCAACCCTGGAGCAGTCAGAGGGGTATGCAGATGGCTGTAACTCGAACTGGATCTCACACTGCGTGAGGAAGGCTCGGCATTGGTCCGGATCGCCCCTGAACAGTTCCCTCCCAGCCTTAAATCTAATTTATTCTTCACACATTTTTCCTTTGCTTTATATTCTGTTCAGCCTAAGCTTTCGTGGCCAGATCATTTTTTGTTTTCCTGTGAGTCTCTCTGTTCAGTGTGTTGTGTTTTGTTCAGTTTTCTTCCATGGTTCATGGATCATGGCAGCCAGTGGAAAGAGGGTTTGTGTCTGTCTCGTCTCCTGATCGTCCACTGTTCCTCCCCTGCTGAGTCTTCTGAGTTTTGGCTCTGTATGCAGGGAGGTTCAGTATTTACCCTCTACCACTGAGCCTGCCCATTTGCGCCTGATCCCATCTGCTCCTGTGCGTGTCCGCCTGGTGATGTTTCTAGACTGTGTCGGACTCAGAACCTGCCGGGAGCTTGTGGATACCCTGGAAGCCTGGATCCTGTCACCTGTCTGTTCCTGCCTGATCTGTAACCCTGTCCAGGATCTGCTTCCTTCGGGTCCTCTGAGACTGCAGCCCCGGGGACACTCTGGGTGATGCGCACCATGTCATCCAGTCAAGCGGCTGGATTGCTCCCCTTTCCAGGGAGATGGACCGGACTGTTAAACCGGGTAAGTGACCAACTCAGATAATCATCTTCTGTCAGATAATCGTGGTCACTTACCTGTGTTTCTCCCTTAATCAGAATGTCTGAGATTGGGCGGTGCCCCGCCCCCCACCTGCAGTCGCTGTTATGAACTTTCCTTCTGGCTGTCTCTCCTTGAACACTGGGTCCATCTGTCCCGTTTCATGACAAGAATACACTGATACACCGCCTCTGATGCTTGGACGTCTCGATGCCCGGACCTCCTAATGCGCGGACCTCTTGATGCTGTCCCTCATAGACTTTGCATGTAAATCAGATGCTCCGACGACCATAACATGTTTGTTGTGATTACCATAAAAACTTCCCCTCCCTTCCATGCTCTGACATTCATCACCAGGACATGGGTTTTTAGCTCCACTGTTCCTGAAGCTCACACCAAGTGTTTTTGTTTTAGAGCAGCTCCACCAACAAAACTGCTGCTTCAAACTTTGAGTTTAAACCTTGGTGAAGCTGCAGCTCAGATCTATCAGGATGTCATTTGGTTATTAGCCCCTGGCCTTTGTTACACTGGGCTTTATATAGTGAGATGTTGTCAATCTCCAATGACAAAACTCCACTTTCAATTCATCTGATGTTAGTCCACTGGACTTTGTTTCCAAGTTTGAAGACATTTATCTTCCTATCCAGGAAGCTTTTTCAATTCCAAATGTCAGAAATAGTGTTGAGTTCGAGGTTTTATACAGTAGCCCAACAAAGCCTTGTTTTTGTTTAGAAAACAAGCAAATTGAAATGGACGAACAGGTCCACCCCCTTTCTTGTATGAAGATCCTCCACCCAGCAGCCTCCTCCAACCTCCACTGATCTTAACCTCCTTCTAAAGTTTTGTTTGGACTCCTCTCCTCATAAAAATGAATCACCTCCCCCTGAGTTCCCAGTCAGCCTCTCAAAGGACCCTCCAGGAACTGCCTACACACAGAGTTCAATCCTTCACCCTCAGCCTTCCCCTGTCATCTCTACCAGAACGATTCAGGACCTTTGAACCACTGCAAAGTAAGAACCCCCTGATCTGCCGATTTCTTCAATTTCTGCACTCACTGCTTTACTGAGCTCCATATGCAGCCTGTGTGCTCTACAGAAGTTTACATGATCAATGTTTGCTAACTAAAATATATATATATATATATTTTTTTTTTTTCTTTTACAGCAAAGTTCTGCAGCCGGGAATCACTAAATAAAGATGACATACAGCTAAAGAAGTAAAATACAAGAAGCCTAAATGATAAAACTCTGAAAACCTCCAATATTCTTAACCTCTGTCGTAAGCAGCTTCACATCAACTATCTACTTCCATCCACCATGTTTCTCATCTGAGCAACAACTACACTGATAACATGGAGCAAAGGTTAATTGCTGCACCTTATCAGCGAGCCAAAAGCAGTCAGAGAGGATATTTGTAGTAGTAGTTTGGGACTCATCTTCATTGAAGCTACAGCTCAGATCTCTCAGTAAGTTCATTATTTAATAGGAAAATAGTTTATCTCTCTGCTGGATGTAAAGACATGATGTGATATGTCAGTGAGACCACCTCCAGTTTTTAAATCCTGGTTGTAGAAAAGTTCTTCAGCTCTGACCCACTTCACCACTTCTGCTGCTAACATGATACACTTTGCACCTGGTCGCATATAGCAGCACCCTGGACCTCCGCTAATAAAGGTAAGAACCCAAAACCTCCTTTACCTTCTTCCAGGCTTTACCTGGCTGCCTTCGCTGAACTCCACTTTGAACTTCTTAAACTTTTGTCTTTAAAATAAAAAAAATTCTGTGGCGTTTTATGCGTTTCTCTGGTAGAATTCTGAAAATCTCACAATAAGCATATTGGCAAGCAGTTGTTTAGACCTCCGTCTTCACAGCAGACATGATTTCTAGTAGCAGAATCTCTCAAGCTGAGAAGTTGCATTCTTCATGCTAGAAACCATCTTTACAATTGTGATATTGGAGATCTCATTACAGCTACAACCATCAAAACCTTTGATTCACCTTCAGTTTTCTTAGATGTATAGATTTTTAATCCTAACCTACTAACGTCTATTTCAACAGGCGAGGTCTATTTCAAGACTAAAGGCTGATCTCCTCAAAAATCTACCAAAACCAAAGTTTAACCTGAGATCTTAATTCTTTGTTCATTATACAGGAAAGTTATGTTCTGTATAATAAAGAACCGATCATACATCCTCTAACTTGGCCACAGCGTGCATGACTTTCCCCCTGGACTCTGTGGGATCAAATCATGCCTGTTGCATGTTTTCCCACACGTGCAAAAAAAAAAAAGCTCTCAGAAAGGACTCTGAGAATATTACTCATTATCCAAACCATCAACCTATAATATGTGGGAAAGCTTCACTGAACGTCAGGTCATAAACCTACAGATAAATGATTTTTTTTTAGTTTATTGCTGTTTTTTTATGGGAGGGGAGGAGGCATAACGAATGGCAGCGGCTCTGGCATGCTCCCTAAAGATAATTGTAACCATATAAAATAATTTTATCATTTGCAGCTAACCTCCTATTGCTATGGGTGAATGGAAAAGCATCTCATTTTTAACTTGTATCTCATATATCTTTTTTAACATCCGCTGTCGGTACATGAATATCAAAACTGCCGTATTTGATTAAACAGGTCAAGCCTCCGCTTGTGCACACTCCCACCCTAGATACATTCTGGAAAAAACAAGCCACTCCTTAACTCTTATACGCCATCATTTTACAAACTGTGTTATCTTAGGAATGAACAAATCCAACGTCTGACACATTTGGGGATTGTAACTGAAGCTAAGGAGAATGGACAGTTGGACGAGGTAAGGCTCATAGGAGCCTGCTTTTTTTTAAATGTCTTTAGTTTTAAACATTTTAAAAAAATATATGTGCTGCCGTCTTTTTTTTTTATTCCATTCATCTGATTTTAATCATAATGATCCAATTTTGATAAACATTACTGGCATGTTTTGTTATACTCTCCACAGACAGAAACTTTTTCCAAGTGACAAGAATCATATCCTCCGATTGACGTCTTATCTTAAGCTTTTTACTTTCCTGCTCTCTTTGGCTGCCGTTGGGGTCTTTTTGCAACCTCGTATCAGCAACTTCCTCCAGTTCGATGGTCCAAGTCCATGCGAATACGATAGGTGTTTTTTTGAGGATAACGTGTTGTTCCGTCACTATCTAAAAACTTCTGTCAAACCCTTTCTGTCAGCCAAGACCCGGCTGTCGATAGATGCTTTCACATGGTGGCAGGCAAGTTTTGACATTAAGGGGTGTCTCATCTGTTGCAATTTGGTACAAATGGTCATGTCTTGTGTATTCACTGTGTATTTGTATGTTTCAGAACATACAGAATGAGCAACGTAACTTCAGTTTTTATGAAGAAACTGTGGATATGCTTTTTGGGATTTTTCCACCAGTTCCAGATCTTGGAAATGCCAAATCTGGTGGCAACGTGACATGTGCATTGGTGGGAAATTCTTTTAATTTGAAAGGTTCAAGTTATGGATCAATTATAGATTCCAAAGATCTCATTATCAGGTAAATCTTGAGTAAAATATTGCCCTACCTGATTTACAATCTGAATAACATCGCAATAAATACAGCTCTCTGTCCAAATCAGAATGAACTTTGCTCCAATCGAAGGCTATGAAAAAGATGTGGGGACCAAAACATCTCATCATGTCATGTATCCAGAGAGTGCCGTTGATTTAGACAAATCTACTCATCTTGTGCTTGTTCCATTTAAGATACAAGATATTGAGTGGCTCATCAAAGCCTTTACAACAGGATTTTCTGGAAGGTAAGTCATTTTTGTTATTGCAAATATGTTTTTAAAATTGCTAGACATTGTAGCAGTTAGCTTACAATGCATGTGACATTTGAATGGAAACATGGAAGTTGGCTGTTCAGCTAGCAGTAGATTGTGCTCAAAGTTTAAAATTGTAATTTATTGACAGGTAAATGTCAGTAAATGACATTCAGAGATTCACTTAATAGAAAACAGAATGAATATGGGCACACAATTTGTAAGCAGTCTAAAATAAATTGTATCTGCAATTTTTTTTTTGTTGGAAATCAGCCTGACAAAATAGGGCAAAATCTGTATAAACAAAAAAAAATGCCTTTATTTAAATAGCGCTACAGCTACAAAGGAGAGGGTGATGACGTGGAAGAAGATTGTGGCTGACGTTAATGCATAGGTTTTTATGAATTGCTGTATGGCATTCATTTTTTTTATTTTTATTGACAGGCCTTTTACATTTAGTTAAAGCCCTCCTCCCTCTTTTGTTCTATTTGTAGAACACTGAAATAAGATTCTTCCTTGTCAAAATCGCTTTTCTGGTCATAACTGTAATAATAGAAGTTCTAAATTAAATCTTTGCCAAAAGAAAATTAATTACAGAAAGTAAAAAGAAAAACAACAAAAACCAAAATAGTTCTTAGAAGAAGTCATTTTTATATACCTAGAAATGTTTTTAAATGGCTCTTTTGACATTCAACAGCTTGACTGAATATATATTTAGGATATCTACAATACATTTCTTCATAGTCAATATAACTGCAAATGATGATCAGCAACACTAGGAGTATGGAGATCATAAATTCATTTCTAGAGATCCAGAATGTTTATTCTAGATGTGAAGAGTTCCATTTTGTTTGACATGGTCATTATGTTCAAATATCAGATATCAGACATTATGGTCATTATGTCCAAATATCAGATATCAGACAGGCAAATGTAGTCAAAGTAATAAACTAATACAAATCAAATTAGCTTGCCATAGCCTGTTGTAACCATGAGAACATTATGGGGAAAACTAGTTTATTGCTTGAATGGTAGCTGGTGAATGTATACTATTTAGGTGAAAACATCAACAAGTAGGACCTGTGCATCAACTCATGGGGTTCCTTCTCAGTTTGATTCTTTCTTCCATCACACAGAGAAAACTAAGTGTTTGCAGCTGCTTCAGATGTCATCATCCCATTAAACAGCCGTTATTAGTGGTTATCAGTTGCATAGAATGGCTTCAGATTATGGCTCCTACCTCCCAGTAGGCTCCGGAGGTTGGTATCAAAGAATTAATCCTAATCCTAACCCTGAAATATTCCCCCCCCCCCCATGGAACTAATTAATCTATGTATGTGTAATCTGAAAATAATTTTAGTGGTTCTTAATGCACTGTAGTAATTAAGAAAAATTATCTGTATGTCACTCATATTAAACACAAATCTCACAGCCTGTCAACTGAGTTGTAGAATCCTCTCCCTATAAATATTTAATTATCTGTGTACTATTGTTGATTAATGACATCCATAATCCATGTTTTTAAAACCTAATGTGTCTAATAAACCTAGTGATTTTTTTTATTTCATTTTATGCACAAAAGTATGACCAAAATCTCCTGACGTCAGGAAATAAAACCTGATTGGCTTTAAAGAGACGGCAGACAAAGGACACTGAGTTTACTGAACAAAAACCTGCTCCTGACCAGGTCAGCTCTGGGGAGAATGTTGCTACGGTAACAGAAACAGAGCTTGAGTAAACTCTCTTTGTGAAATTACAAACTCAGAGTTTCATTGATTTTAGGTTTAGAAAACTTAAACGTTTTCAGTAAACCTGCTTTTTGAAACAGACCCATGATATCTATAAAAAAAAAAAAAATTAAAACTCTTCAAAACAGTTTACTCTTTTCTTCTTCTTTTACAGAAGTCCCCATAGAGTTATTAGCCTACTTATACTACTGGTGTAAATTTAGAAAATGCCACACTGTGCTGTTACCTCAAAGTTTTCAATAACTGTCATAGAAATGTGTTCCACTTATGATCTACTGCTTAAGCTAGACATAACACCTTGAGCTAAAGCTAACCTGAAATCAATATTTTAATCAGAAGATAATGATTGACTATTTAATCTTTTAGTCGAAACACATCCTTGTGATAAACCTAACAAACTGTTGTGTTCCTGATGCTAACTGTAAACAGCCTAGAACCTGGAGCTCTTTAGCTCTTCGCCTGGGTTAGCATCTCCTAGCAGGAGCCGCACAAACACCAGCTTTTTCAGCCAACTCTCCCCTCTTTGTCTGTTGGTCCTCGTCTTGTGATTTCTATATTGCCGCCAATTTCAGCACACTTTAGTTCAACCTGAATAAATTAACTGTCATGATTTTATCTAAAGATCTGACCCACATGCAGAAGACCAAACAGAGAGACCAGGGAAAAGTTTAACAGGTTTTATTGAGAGTTGGTTGAGAGGAGTCAAGTGCTGCTCTGAACACTGTAGAACCGGGACTGAAAAGTGAAGGGTAAGATTCTGCGGTTAGTTCAGGCTCAGTAGGAAATTTGTGTCTTCGATTTGAAGAAGGGAATTAAGGCAACAGGACTCACGTTTCCAGAAAAAGGTGTCTCTTGTTGATTCCAGTGGGTGTGGGTTGTTTCAGTGAATGACTTGCTCGTTGGAGGGCGGACAGGGTTTACCCAGGTTGCGGTGTTTTCTTGAGGAACGGAGGAGCTGACTGCCACTTAGTTTTCCTGCGGTACTTGAACGGTTTCTTGTGGAGATGAATCCCCTGCTCAGAGAGACTCCCAAACAATCCTTGGGGAAAAGTACATCCAAACCACTAGCTTGAAGTTCAGCTCAGCTCAGTTTGATGCTCAGAGAATCCTTCCAGGGGGGAGAAGGTCCAAAACATCCAGTTTGCAGGATGGCTTCCTGCCGAGAGGCAAAGCCAAAAAAACAGCAAGGTTAAAACTCAGGTTGACAAAAAATCAGTTTGACTCAGCAAAACTCAGCTTGGCTAGAGTACCCAAAACTGGCAAACACTCTGGCGTCGAGGTAGTGGCAGTCAGCAGCTTAAGAGTCCTCCGGTAATGAGGCAACCATCCGCAGGTGTGTGAGGAGGCCAACGAGAACCAGGCGCCGCCTGGTGGTGGAGGGAAGACAAACAAAAGCACAACCCACACAAACTGGATTCCTAACATTACTGCTGTTTTGGCAAGACAGAGCTAGTGCTACGGGACCTAGCATACGTAATTTACCGTAATGCATGCAGTGTAAACAACACATAATTGTACAGCTTACAATATTTTTAATATATTGGACTTAGACTTAGACTCAACTTTATTTATCCCTTTGGATTACTCCTTCAGGGAAAATAAACAGTGTTTAAATTGAAAATATATAATTATCAAATAAGGTCTATTATAGCTAATTATAGAATCCTTTAAGTTGCTGAATATTCACTTCATGAAAATTATTTTTCCCGTGATTGTCCATATCAGTACAGTTTGATACATCGGTTTTACATCATCATATGAATATGAAGTTTACACTTGAAACTTTTTCTAACAGTTCATATTCACCAATCAAATCCAAAATAAAGGCCAACAAAGAATTGGTAAGTATGCTGCTAATGTTTTTGGCTATTTTTTTTTTTTTTGTTATACATAGATACTAGTTCAATTAATTCAGAGCTTTTTTTCCATGTAACAGGTGATGGTGGTCAGTCCAGCTTTTATAAAGTATGTTCATGAAGTCTGGCTCGAAGAAGTTGGGGATTATCCTTCTACTGGCTTTATATCTTTGGTTCTTGCACTGAACATTTGCGATGAGGTGAATTGTTTTTTTCTCTTTTTGAAGTTCTCAATTTCTAATCATGTTCCACTTTTAGATACCGTAATATAGTGATAGGCTTTCAAATATATTTTGTAAAATAGATGTGGTTGTGTTATATTCATAGTCTATCCAATACACCTAGAAGGGAAAACAGGCATGACTAAAAAGATTATAAGATGGTTTTGTCCTTTTGCAGGTCAGTGTATTTGGCTTTGGAGCAAACAGCAGAGGACAATGGAACCATTATTTTGAAAAATATACAGACATTAACTTGAAAACAGGACCACATGCTGGACAACATGAATACAACATTATACAAGATTTAGATTTTGGGAAAATAGTAAAACTTTACCATGGAGTGTGACTTATTTTAATCATTTTTTATTTTATTTTTTCATATGAATGGCAGTTCTGATAGTAGTGAAAATTAGTGTTGCACCAATGCTATTTTTTGGCTCGATACTATATGTTTTAAATTGATGTGCGTGTGTGTATATATGAAGAACTGCATACTACTTGGATGTAAACTAATTGCCATCATGGCTTTGTCAAGCTGCTGCCCACCTTTGTGAAGCAGGAAAAAGACTAATACAAAGTGAATCCAGTAGAACTTTTTATTGCCTATCTGGAATGGGTGACAATGGTTGGATAAACTTTTGTCTCTCAAAATGGTATCGATGCCCTATTTGTTGGTACTCGCCGATACCGATACCACCATTTTAGTGCTGGATCGGGGCCCCGCCTGATTCTGGTATCAGTGTGAGTGCAACACTAATGAAAATCCATTAGCTGGATTATGGAATTGATCAGGTTACAACTATCAGGTCCTATTCAAACTGACAAAAAAGGTCAGGAGTCAAAAAAATTCCTCCCCAAATGGTCAAAAAAAAACTAGTGGCATCACCCACTACTGGCGTTTTTGGTACTTCTATATAAATAGCTAGCTTCTAGGCTGTTTTCTTCCACCTTGTTTTTGTGTTTTTGTCATTTTCTTCTCATGTTTTGGTTTGTTCTTAGTCTGTGCTCTAGGTATTGGGCCCTTAGTGTTCATTTGTTCTATTTGATCTCCTTTTCTCTGTTCTCAGCTTCCTCACTAAGCTTCTTGAGTCCCACTTATTGTTTGACTCAGTTTTTCTACTAATGTATCCCCCACCCAGTTTTACCATGTTCCGTAAAACCCTTTTAAAATTCTTATTTGGTTTGAAATTTGCACTTTAAACTTTGTTATTGTGACTCATATTTGATTGTCTTCAGGTCCCTCTGTAACACTATTCAAACAGTGTCATAAGAATATGGCTGCTAAGAAAATAAAAAAATTGTTTAATTATTGAACAAATGAGTCGTCCAGAAAATATTTCAGTATCTACTGCACCTTTATTAGACAACCAGTTTTTTTTATATAGTCATCTGTCGTCAGCCAGATTTAAATTAGGCTGACGACATTAGGTCTTGGCTCTGCCTTTTAGTCTTCGGTTTTGTTTTACTGCTTTTGTTTTATATAATTTTCAGCATTTTATGTATTTTGTTCTCAGTTTTAGACACCTTGCATTATGTTGTGGCTTATATTACGGTACAAATAAATTTGCCTTTCTCTTTTGCCTTACAGCCGTTGTTCTTTTTTTATCATTAAACAATATGAAAATATTTTTCCTTCTAAATTCGTTTTTCTTTTCCCCAATAAGTTGTAAAGCACGTAAAGCAGTTACTTTTGCTTAGGATTAAATTAATTAATTAATTAATTAATTGCTGATTAATATGCAATGAGTAAAATAAATGTCCCCTAATAGAAAAAAAAGTATACTAAAAAACATATTTTAGGTAATTTTGTCATTTGTTTTTTTTACTTTAGAAATTGTTTTTATTTTAGTAATTATGTATTTATTTTAAGATATAACTATTTGTATATACTGTATGCAAAATTTTATGTACATCCGTTTTCACATTTTTTAGGTGTTTGAAGATACTTGTTTTCTGTTCTTATAAATGTGCTCGTATTTATATCTCTATTTTACTGTGTATATGTATATAGAGCCAATGTCAACACACTTTTATTTTGGTTAGTGACAATAAAGACTCACGCCTTAAGCTTAAATGTTTTTTTTATAACAGATTATAAAACCAGATTATAAAAAAAATGTTATAAAACTGTTGCTTCAATTGAAAAAATTTAGTTTGTAAAAGTGGAAAATTTATTAAATAAAATAAAATTTAAACCCTTATCCACTCTCTTTTTCCCCAGGGGTGAACTCTGAGTGTTCGGTTTGCAACAGCTGCTATCAATTAGTTCAATCAATTTTATCTAGGTCCATTCAATTAAACCCGTGTGCAAAAATTATGAAAAGCCATTATTAGTAGATCACCGATTTGACAGGTTACTATGACAACAGGCAACAAGAAGTGTCTATTTCACCCCACTGGAAATAGAGATTTAATGCAGAAATGCAAAACAATAAAATAAGGAGAAGGTTATTGTTCCGGTTAATGCGTAAGTTTATATGAAGTTGGCTATGGCAG